AACAGCTTGAACCATATGTAAAAGAATCATTTCTGGCCATACCCAGGTGTATGGCGCTCAAAGAACTTTACTCACTTGCGTAAACCTCCAAACATGGCTCCATCTTCCAAGAAGAAGAAGATACGGGTGGAAGACTACTTATACTGAGATATATTTAAATGCTGAAGCTCTCTAGCGTTTTATAAGCTAATATGATACTGCAGTCTAGAGATATACTGAGCCCATTTAGTACACTACATAGCTTGCTAAATACTGAGATCAGATTGATTATAAGTAGACGCTTTTATCCGCTGGGCTTTTAAGAACCCTCGAGTCAATTTATAATTTCTTGTTGTAACTGTCTTCTCGAACTTCTGTATCGGTGCCCTTTTTCCAAAATAACATTTTAAAATTCCTATTGGTTTCCATTTCAACTTTACTTGTAACGTGAATATTGCGAGTTCTTCAATAAGAGCGCTACAAAAACGGCTTGTGGCGCCGTGGAACCGCATATTGCACAAATCCATATCATCCAATTCGTTCCAAAAATATTATATTATCATTGAGCGGTAGCGATTCCTTTTCAGTAATGTGCCGGTCTTGACCATCACGGAAAAAGTACGACCCAATGACGTCATCGGCCCATGAGCCGCTCCAAATCGTATTTTCCTCAATAGACGCACTAGCGGCAACAATATTCTCGACACTACGAAAACCTCACCTGTGGATTCAAATTTTTCAAACTAGACGCTCAATTGTTGATCTGTTAGGACGATTATAAATTGGACGTATCGCAATTAAAGTTGAGGCCATTGAATCCAAATTTAGGTAGTAAGTTTTAATAAAAAAAAATTTTTATTTGACAAATTATTTACACAAAATTTGGATATAGTATATACTAACCTATAAACTAACTCATCGAACTCAAGTCCTGTATGGAAAACTATTTTATTAAAAAAAATAATGGGCGCCAGCATCGACTAAAGATATTAAAATGTTTAAATTAGCCGACGGTGAACTTCAAACGCTTAACAGCAAATTATACCGTAAAAGCACACCTACATACTTGATTTCACATGCAGATATGCTTCGACTATACATACATACATATGTACATATGTATATGCGCATCAATACAATTAATTCCATAAAAGCGATATTTAATGATTAATGATAACTTTTATACATACTAGCACTTGTAGTGTTAAGCTATTAAGCCATATTTTATTCGGAACCTACACTCAAATCATTTGCAGCTAATATCCTGCATATGCATGTATGGATATGTATTACTGCGCAATCGTATGTATACATGTGGTATTTAAAAGTCATTGCTGAATGCCTCCCTTGGGCCTTTCATGCAGAGTTGTTGATGATATTGGCGATAGTGACCGCTAACTCCACCACATCAACGTCACACTTGCCGTCGCTGTCGCTGTCGCCGTCGACTATGCGCCACTATAAGTGTTAATGGTTTTCCAGTGCGGCAAAATAGCGCAATGCCAATGGTAGTGTAGTTCTTACCAGCATTTCAGCTCATTTACGGTAAATGCGTCAACTGCGGTCAGTCGGCCAACGCCACTTGACTTTTTCCATGCATATGGCCATGTCAAACTGCTCATATGTACATATGTATGTATGTATGTATGTGCATGTGTATAAAATAAACTTATACGCATGTTGACTTACTGACATTAGTGGCTGGTCATTGGTTTCTGTTCGGCGTTGGTTGGCTATTACGTCGCTTGGCTGGTGCAGTGGGATTCCTTAATTTTGGACTGCGTTCGGCTGACGCCTAGCGTGACGATCGCAATTGCCTTTATTACATTATTATTGCGCTATTTGTGTGTTTGTGTGGCGCTCAACGGTTACGGTTACGCTTTTACGCAAACAAAAAAGAATAACGAAAAAATATGTAACTAAAGAACAAACATACACATAGGCATTACTATGTAAGTACGCTGTAAGTCCAACAAAATAGGCAAGAAGTCTCAGTCTGAAGCACTAAACCAAAGCTTAGGTGTTGAAGTACACACAACGAAGGAACGCTGGAGGAGCCTAGGGATCAGACTTAAATACTTGTTCGTGTGTGTGCGTAGTGACGCTGGCTAACTAAATTGGCAACCTGCTAACGCTAAGCGCTTGTTGTGCGCAAGAAATTTGTTGTGCACTGAAATGACGTTTGCAGGCAATAACTTTTTATATTCTAATTAGTTCTATATTTTTTTTGTAGTATAGTAGTTTGTTCTTCAATATGCAAAGTTGTTAAAGATGGCAGGCGGCAGGTAAGGTTAACGAAAATGTTGCATGCGCGGCAGCTAAAGGAGTAACGAACGACATTGTCCGATATTTAACGGCGTTGTTGAAAGCCTTACTACATACTAGGCAACCAGTTGTGAAACATATAAACACACATTAATAGGCACACTCATAAATATACATATATACAGTGCAATGATTCTCCTTCACCCCAGTCAGAGCAAGGACTTTGAAATATTTTCTCATATGATATTATCAACCGATACCACTGGATTTATTGAAGGGGCTATGCAACATTTCCATGGTAGTATGTGAAGTTAAACTTCTATACTGAACAAATTAAAGTGTAAAATGCAAAAGTTTTGGGATTGTAAAATCTAAATAGCATTAAGTGGTACAAAAAAGTAAGAAAGGGCAAAGGGCGGGTGCAACCGAACATTTTATACTCTTGCAACTTGCAAAAATCAAAACCAGTGAAATACTTTAAGGTGTAAAACGTCAACCAGAGCATCGAAATCCAACGAATTTTATATATACATATACTATATATAACTCTTAAACTGACAGACACATAAGGTGTTTTCTAGAGACAAGAAAATCACCATAAGTACAAGGTGCGTTCCAAATCAAACAGGACTTTTGCAATCTAGCGCCCCCTAGTGGACGCCATCTATATGTCGACTAGGGCGTTGGAATCTGCTATCTTTCGTCTAGTTATTCATGACATTTCATTGATTGGAAGTGACGTTATTGCGTTTTAAGTGTCAGTATGTTTGCGTTATCGGTACGAAAATGAGCTTCGAACAAAGAGCCAACATTAAATTTTGTTTCAAAATTGGTAAAACTTTTACCGAAATGTTTCAATTGATGAAACAAGTTTATGGCGATGATTGCCTATCCAGTAGCAGAGTACACGAGTGGTTTCAACGTTTTCAAAGTGGTCGTGAGGACATAAATGACGATCAACATGTGGGCCAATCACAATCCGTGATCACCGGAAATTCCATCGAAACTGTGCGTGAATTCATCAAATATTAGCCGAAATCATCATTGAAATTTATGGAAATGGATTTGCGCATTTCCAAAACATCGATTTATCGCATTTTGACTATACATTTGGGCTTACGGAAGGTCCTTCCGCACAAATTGACTGACGATCAAACATTGCTTAGAATCCAACATTCGATTCGACGCTTGTGACCGATTGTTTGAACAAAAATCACATTTTAAGCATTAACCACTCCCCATATTCACCTGATAGGGACCGAGGGACTTCTTTATTTTCGGCAAAATGCATTTGCTCATGAAAGCAAAGCGTTATGTAGACGTAGAGGTCATTCCAAAGACTTGCACCGGCATACTGGCAGCCATACCGGCCAACGAGCTAAAACACTCGTTCGACATGTTTTTGGACCGTGCAAAAATCTATATTGAAGTCCGAAAAATTTAATTTGTTTATTTTTTTAAGTCCTGTTTACTTTGGAAAGCAGCTTGTAGTATAAGGGAGTTGGGGTAGTATTAACCCGATCTATTTTTTCTAATACAGTATACTATTAATCAAAATTCAATTATATGTAGGTAGTGTGGTCCAAATATTCGGTTTGTTAAAATCAGTCTGTCGGCTCCCAGGATATAGGATTTTACCAAAACGTCGGCATTGCCACGCCCATCATCCCATTTTCACACCGCCTCTCATAAAAACCTCTTATAAGATATCGGAGGTAAAATTTAACGTCGCGTATTTAGTTATTGATTTATTGCGCTTTCAGTAGTTTTGAACAGTGCCGTTATATGGGGAGTGAGTGGGGTTATCTTCCGATTTCATCCATTTTCACATTTTCGGTAGGAGTTAATAAAAGATTACCGCTAAACAAATTTGGTTTTTGCAGCTATGGTAGTTAAGAGATGTCTACATTAAATTTTTAGAGAGCAGGGCCACGCACACTTTTTCAAAAAATTTCCCCCACAGGTGTCCCCTTTGCCAAATAAGTATCTTAATTAAGTCCTTAGTATGACACTTTATGGGTTTTTGGATTATTTTATTTGTGGGCGTGGCAGTGATCCGATTACGCCCATCTATGAACTCGTAATTTTTTCTGCTATAGAACCCGCATAACATGTTTCATCAAGATATCTCAATTTTTACTGAAGCTACAGCTTATACGGACGGACGGACAGACAGTCACCCGGACTTAAACTTTTCTCGTCATCCTGATCATTTTTATATACATATATAGCCATATATCTTTTTACATTAGTTTTAGGTGCTACGTACAATCGTTAGGCGAACAAAACTCGTATAATACTCTGTAGCAACTGGCTGCAAGAGTATCAAAAAGAAAACTTGAGACTCATCAAAAATGTTCCGCCAATCAATTATTAGCAATATGATGGATTTAAAATGAGCTTAAATTGTATTTCACTCGGTCGAATTATATTACGAATATTTATTTTTGTTTCGAAAATTTGCGACGTAAATTATTCACCAAATAGTTTGATTGAATGATGTCGACTGACTACTCATAGTTGTTAAAAATCTGGATCTATCTCGATTACATAGAACCCAGGATATAAATATTATAGTATTATACGGTCGCGAGAATCTTTAATTCGTCGATTCAACTCGACAAAACTGTGAGTTATCATCTTCTTTTTTTATTGTTATTGTTATACATTCTGCTAAGTAATAAACCTATTAGATAAATCTTTTATTTTTCATTATTGCTACAATTTATGGTTTATACCTATACAAATCCTACACTTACGAATATTCACAACCTGTATTTCTTAACTCTTTATCACAATATATTGGGTCTTGGAGAACAACTAAAACGTGGCGGAACGGCAACGCTGCCATTTGCATGTTGCAACCGCAGTCACATCGTCTTTTCTGGAATGTCCGCAATGTGGGCATTTCTCGTCGGGTGGATTTTTCCAACGCACGAAATATGTTTTATAAACGACGGCGTGAATTTTGTTTTTGGGCTTTGGCGCTTTCGTGCGCTTGAAGAACCAGCGAAATACATTTGTGCGCCGTTTTGTTGCCTTGCCTTCCACTGGTGATTTGGTGTTGTCCTGCCGAAAAAGTTGCTTCATATCCAAGTCATGATTATTTACCCAGGCTGCGTGTTGTTCTAGCGAGACTGCTTCATGTAATGATGTCTGCAAAGCACCGCCGAACAAAGTTGGTGTTGGCGCCACTTTTGAGGGCGTGGTTAAAGGACTACCAAAAGCGCCTTTATCAACTTTGTTGTCATTATCTAGAACCGGTAAGCCATTCTCGGCGATACGTGCTCTCTTGTAACGCAGATCCAATGGTTCCGCTGTGTCACTTTTACTAGGTTGCATTGTTATCACTTTTCCAGGCGCTTTCTGTTTCAAAAATAGTCCGAAAACTTTTGTGCGAGTGTCAAACACCTCAGGCGCTTCATTTACACGCCAACAATGCGCTAGTGGACACTTTAGCATAGCATGAGTTTTGTCAGCGCTCGAGTTCGCAGCTTCTTCCATTTTCACCCTACTCACGGTTGTCAAAGGTAGTACGCGTCGGTTTCTTTGACAAGGAAAATAACGCAAGAAACCTTTCCGTTGCGCACAACTATCAGTCGATCTGTCTTCTTCTTCAGCAATTGTATCCATAGCGGCCACATGTTCCATTTGAGATGCAGGAATCTTTACCAAAATATAATGATCATTGACTAAACAAATCTCCGAGACACGTTTCGGCCGTGTAGTGTTCGTCGTATTGAAAAAATCCGTTACATTGGCACCCTGATAAGCTATGAAATCGCCACGTGCGAGTAAATCGTCTGGCAAGCGATAAAAGCTTTGACTACTTCTAATGTCACAGCACCCCGAATTCGTAGTGTTCGACGTGGTAGCGCTGCTATGACTCAAAGTGTGCGAAAAACTCTCATCAGAGTCATCCAGCGCAAGTTGTGGTTGACATATTGATGGCTGTAAGCTGCCTGATTGGCATTCGTGTCTTCGTGTCGACTCTTCACTATGAATTTCACGAAAATGGACATGTTTTCGGCGTGTTGTATCAGCTGGAGCAGACAAAATATATCGAGTTTTTTGTATATTGCGCTGCACTGACATTTTCTGTTTGAAACAAAATAAAAAGATTGCTATTAAATATATATGACCGTGTGTGTGGTTGAAAATAAAATGATATTAAGGTGGTACAATAAAGTATCAGAAGCATTATTTGAAAATTACATTAAAACTATTTTAGGTGTAAACTACTTCAAAATTACTTTAAAATTCGCTGATCATGACTGCAAATAATGCATTGAAGTTAACAATTAAAAAATATATATGTACATACATAAATATGTATAGGTATGTACATACTATATGTACATATGTACATATATGTACATACATATATATTTTTTTAAATTAACAATTAAAAACAATTTTTTTATTTAAAACTTTATATTTTTTACTTTTAAAAAGTAATCTTATTTTTATTTTTAAAACATATTTTTTTATTAAAAAAAAATTATAATAGTTTTTAATTAAAAAAATAATAATTTTTTTTTTAATAATTTTTTGATTATTTTTTGATCTTAATTAAAATTTATTTTTAAATTTCTAATCTCAAATGCCAAATTGAAGAATTAAAAAGAAAGTTTGAAGCCCACAAATCGATTTGAAACTTAGAAATTAAAAAAAGTCTTAAATACCGGTTTGAAAACTAAAAAAAGAAATAGTATCCACATTGGAAACTAAAAAATAAAAAGTAATGACACTTAGTCCGGTCAAAATAAACATTCAAGGTTCGGTAAAATAAAAATTAATGAATAAAAAAATTATTAAAAGTCACTTACTAAAACTCCCCTTCTTTTCGGTATATACTACTCATAAATAATACAAATATGTATATATATGTGTACATATACATACATACATACATATTGTATGTACATACATATATTATACACATATATTATACACGCAGGACGGCGATATATTATATTTCTGGATTAGACAGGACCGAAAATTGTAATAATTTTTTATATAAATAACGCAGCTGACATTTTAAACATACATGCATATATTTAATCATCTGAAAATATTTATATTGACAAAGTTGATACTTGAGTAAAAAATATATAAAACTTAAATTTAAATTAGATAAGCTGATACTAAAAATAGCTATGAGAATAGGGAAACACGCATTCACTTTCATCATCCGCCATCGAACAAACTGATGAAGGCGTGTTTTATTCATATGAATAACATATCTTTAATATTCATTTAATGGAAAGACACAGACGCTGGTTTGACCAGTTGCTGTGTGAAAGAGGGAGGAGTCAATGCGCTGAGTTCATAAACAAAATTATTTACACTCAATATGTTAAAACCTGTAAAATTATACTCAAAATATGATTATCTTAAAATACCATTGCATACTTCTAGGCAGGCGCATGCTGCGTCCGTAACGCAAGAGGCTACCAGAGAACGTCTATCATATGATGACGTTCTCTGAGGCTACCGTACGAGTAGGTTGTAGTTAGGCGGTAAAATTTTTCATAAATAACCGTTAATTTAAGTTTTTCATTGTCATTTTTCGCATATGTAATTATTTAGCAATAGTTGCACAAACATCTTCACATCAAATACACTACAATTTTTGTTGGTATCTAGTGGTGAAATATGATTTATTTCCTTTGTGACACTGCAGTATTTTGTTTATTAAAACAAAAGCAAAAATAAATAAATTCACGTTGCCGCAGCGACATTGAAGTAGCGGTGGCAGTGCCAATAAAAGTTCAGCACGCACATACATGTACGTATGTATGTACATACTATGCATGTATATATCAAAGGCAACACACTCATTTCACTCGTGTTGAATCGTAAAACACAAACCGTCTATGAATTTCTGTAAGAGTCAATGGCACTGAGCTGAAAATTCAGAAAATACTTTCATTTGTTGTAATTGTAGTTTAAGTTGTTTATGTGCCGCAGCTACAGAATTTTTAATTTCACTACTTATTTTTCTGACTTCACTATTGTGAGTGCTACGTACGAGTATTGAAAGGTTCTTATTTGTTGCGCACACGAAACTCGACTGAAATTTGTTGAATTCTTGTCGCGTTGCAAAGCTCCTAGCACCGGCACACTGGCACACTATGTGTGTGCAAGTGTATGTGGCAGTTGTAGTTATATGTTTTATATTATCGAGTTTTAGGCTGCATTGTTGCAACTAAAGTTACGAGACCCTATAGCTTAAATGCAATTACATACATACTCATATAACTAACTATGCATATTGACACCTAAAATGCAAAGCAACGTAAATTCAAACAAGAAAAATAGAAAAAACTTCGACTGCAGCGAAGCCCTCATTATCTATACAAAATCTGTATTTAGTGATCCGATCGAACAGTTTTTTCGGAGATTGTACCTTTGCTTTAGACAAAAGTTCCTTCTTAATTTTCTAAAGATATCTTGTCAAATAAAAAAGTTTTCCATACAAGAACTTAATTTCGATTGGCCAATTGGTATGACTGTATGGAGTATGGAGCCTGTGCCGTTTATTTGGACCAAATTTCATGAAGATATCTTGTCAAACAAAAAAGTTTTCCATACAAGAACTTGATTTTGATCGTTCAGTTTAAGTGGCAGCTACATACTACAGTGATGCCGTAAGAGCGATTCCGACAAGTTAGCAGCTCCTTGAAAGAAAAGGAAGTGTGCAAAATTACAGATCGATATCTCAAAAACTGTTTGACTAGTTCGGGTGTACCCAGACAGACAAACAATTCGCCCTTCTGCTGTAAACTTATGAAAAGTTATGTTACGATATTTTATATTTTGGATGGCCTTATGCATACATATTCATATGAACTTGTACAAATATCCATAAATTTTTTGAACTATACATCTACTACTGATAGCTTAATATTTGTAATTTTTTCCCACATCAGCTATTGAACGAAAATCTAACGGTAATGCCCCACAAAGGAAAATGAACAAGTCATATATTTTATATTTAACGCTTTTATTGAGCAACAACAAACTGAAAGCTGGCACGAAGTTTTAGTTAAAACCCAATAGGAAAATATCTTAAAGACTAAATAATCATGTGCATACATGAGGTACGTCAAAAGTAAACAGGACATAAAAACAAAGAGCAAATGGTTTTTTCGGCAAAATCAATTTATTTTATTCAAAATAGTCTCCACGGTGCCATATCAGGTGAATATGGTTAGTGGTTAATGGTTAACATGTAATTTTTGGTCAAATAAACGGTCACAAGCGTCGATCGATGAGAGAGATTCTGAGCAATTTTTGGTTGTCAGTCAATTTGTGCAGAACAAATCGTGCACACACCTTTCGTAAGCCCAAATGTATAGTCTAAATGAGATAAGTCGATGTTTTGGAGATGTTCAATTCCATTTCCATGAATTTCAATGATGATTTCTTGGCTCTTTGTTCGAAGCTCATTTTTGCACCGATAACACAAACATACTGACACTTAAAACGCAATAACTTCACTTCCAATCCATGAAATGTCATGAATAACTGGACAATCGACAAAGATAGCAGATTTTAACACACCAGTCGACATATAGATGGCACCACCAGAGCAAAAAGTCCTGTTTACTTTGGAAAGCATCTTGTATATTGCCAACAACGTTCGAATGAATGTTGTAGTGCTGAAGAAAAAATAAAGCATAAAAAACATACAATTGGGTATTGACTGTTAACTTACATTAATAGTAAGCTTAAATATTTCGAACAAATGATAGACGCTAAACAAGAAAATATTCTTATATGTAAGGATTTGAGAAAATAATTTTCGCAATGTTTTTTTTTTAACTTGGTTAAAATTTTAAAATATTAATTTTCTTATAACGCCTGAAGCTAAATATCTGAATAATTCAGTTTGCATAGCTTTACAATTTCCTACTGGGCTTACACCTAGTAAGCATATGCAGTCATTTGAAGTTGTACTCACATAAAATTAATGTTTGTTGTTGCTTTTATTTTCGTATTCCAAGTGCTGCATTATTATTCGGTTGTTATTTAGCCAATATCAATAATCAAAGTTAGAGCATTCAATGAATCATTAAATCACGTGCTACAACACTACACCCACACAACAATATGTACATACATATATACATATGTGTGTATATAGATATATACATATGTATGTAAGTACTGCCGCTAACAGTGTTTCGTTTTGACTGTGTTAAGTCGAAATAACGTTTTTTTTTATGGAGATTTTTCAAGAAACTCATGTGGTTGGCTGTTTGGTCGAAAAGGAAGGGACGTAGCCGGCATAACACAGGCGGCCGCACTTGGGTCCATTGTACTCCCGGCTGGTAACCAAGTTAAGCCTTATTGATCAACTCAGTGGATTTGGTGAAAAACATGACTTTTTCAACCCCTTGCGTCCTACATCCTTTAAGGGGGGAGGCTGTGTAAAAAGCTTCAAAAAATTGATTTTTTTTTGTTTTGCTTAAATATCTAAGAATATTTCCTTAAAGTTATTGATTGGAATTCGAAATATTGTCGAAGCTAGAAGGAAAATATGTAGTGAAGTCTGGCAGATATAATATAAGCGCTTGGGGCAAAAAGCGAAAACTCTGACACGCGATTCCTCGGTTTTTCTTTTTTACGATTTTTCTTAATTAGCGGGCAGGATTTTGGCAAAATTTATTATCTTTGCTATTAAATTATCTTCTATTTAAACTAAAAAAAACTAAGAAAAGTCAAGTTTGAACATATTTTTAAACAACTTGAAGTAAAATTTTTTTGGTCAGAAACCACTTTTTTTTTTGAAATTTTCTTGGTTTAACTAGAAGATACATTATGAAAAATATGAATCTCTTTGAATTGTTTGTTTCCGATAGAAATTGCGATCTGCACCCTGCCCGCCGTCCGACGAATGCACATGCGAGATACTATACATCGGGCAATTGGTTCCCAAAGGCAGGATATCAACGATTTTGTATCCAAAAAAATTTAGGATGATTTTTAAATATATAACTATAATCCCCAGAAATTTCGCTTTAATAAATTATATCATTCCTTCCCAAAAAATTGTCAAAAAATCGATTACCCTTAAGTTGAGTCAT